GGGCCTCCGAGCGCCCGGCGCCCCCTCCCCGGGCCGGGACCTCGGAGCCAGCGCGGCCCCCTTCTCTGCAGGTGGAGGTACGGACAGGGAGGGGGCGGGAGGACCCGGAGCCCCGCAGCACCTTGAGCTCGGCCCCGCCCCGAGGAAGAGGGGGCGCGGTGGAGGCGCGACTTTGGGTGTATGTGGTTGGCTGTGCATCCCTGTGCCTGGCGCATCCCCCCTCTTTTGCCCCCTCCCAGTACTCGATTCTTGGCAGGTGCCGCTCCACCTGGGGCAGGTGCCTGGAGTGGTGCCCGGAATGGGTGGATGCAACCTGGTCCCCGCCCCTCCCCCCACAACAAAGCTGCAGCGGCCCCGCCTCCAGACTGAGATTTATGATGATCCCCACGCCACTCAGATTGGCACTTGTTGACGGAAGTGTCAGAGTCACCTCAATTAGATCTGGGGATAGAGGACCCCCACGCCCAACCTTCGGACTTTGAGGCTGGATCTTTCCCCAAGTGTCGAGTCAACAGGCAAGGGATTTTCCCTTAACTGGAGTTTACCTGCCCTCCTCCGTTGGCATCAGGGCTGGGTCACCCTGTGCTCATGACTGGCACCAAGCTGCCATGGTACCAGGCTTGCCCTAGCTCCCCTGTGCCACCTTGACATCACTGCCTTGGGCTCACCTTCTCCATCTGGGTCAAGCAGGACCAGGTCGACCTAACTTCTTTGACTCAGTGTCATGAATCTAAGACATGTCTTGTGCCTCTGTGCCCCCTTTAACACCTCATCATCCACTTGGTTGTCTTGTGCTCTCTGTGTAACCAGTTCTCGTCTCCTTCTGCACCTGCCCCTTCCCCTCTGTGTCCACCCACCCTGTGACCCCTATGATAACCCTCCTCAGTCCTGCTGATGGCCTGCCAGCCTTGTCGAGGAGCTGGGCGTATCTGGTGTTGCCGATCACACAAGGTCAGACCTCCGGGTGGGCATCGGCTGGGGTCCTTGCCCTCAACCCTGGCCCGGGGAGGGCTGTATAAGAGCCCCCGTCCTTTGCGCATGCATGTCCTTGGTCTGTACCACACATGACCCCAGTGGTGTCTATGATTCCCACAACAAGGCTTGACCCATGGCTGTCCGCATGCTCTGTCCCCTCTTGACCACCCCTTTTTCATGGCTGCTGCCCCGACCCTCTGTCTTTCCTGATGTGTGCTTGTCTCTTCTGTGTCCGGCAAACGGATGTCCTGTCCAGATTCCGGAAACGCCCAAGGCATTGAAATCACCGGACATGGGGGTCTAGGTCCCTGGCTGCTCTGGGAAGAGGAGGGTGCTGGGAAGTGGGTGCCCTGAGCCTGGGGCCTCTTGCTCCAGGGGGAGAGAGAATAGGAATTCTCTGAGGCCAGACCAAGCTCTGGATTCCTGGGTTTGTCTTGTTGGCCCTCAGGTGACCCTTTGTCCCTGGGTAGGAGTGAGTCACCCAAGAGAGGAGGACCCAGGAGGCCAGGGCCTTCCTCCCTCTTCTCAGGCCTCGCCAGCCGGAGGTGGGCCCAGGGTGGCGCTCCTCCTCTGTGCTTGGATTTTCCCTGTTGAGCTGGCCTTGCTCCTGGCTGGACCCCTTGCTCTGCCTGCTGGAGAGGGAGAGGCTGTCCTGGTTGGGAGGTTATGTGAGTGTTGTCACTTCCTCACTGTGTGTCCTCGGTCCCCGTGCCTTCACTGTTCCCTGAGCCTCCATTCTGCCATCAGAAAAATGAGACTAAATAGTTTTTGCAGGGGAGAGAGACAGGGGCCCCTCTTGGCAGACAGGGAAGCTTTCAGTTTGTTAACTGTGGAGCAGTAATAACGACCAGAATGGCTCTGAAATTGCCACATGTCCCCTGGTGGTTGGGCGAAGTTGTCTCTAGTGAGAACTACTGTTGTTACTCAGAGCCTCAGTTTTCTCATCTGTAAAGTGGGAGAATAATGGAACTTCCCAGGGCTTTGAAAGGTTAGTAGCATCTGTGCTCCAGCAGCTGCCTTTGAAGTTGATGACTGGCCAACATTAACTTTCTTCATCTGTGAAATGGGTTCTCAGAGCCAAGGGAGGTAACACAGATGCAGCGCTTAGCTAGGCTGGGATGAATACTGGATTCTCTTTTATTGAAATCCTGTCCTGCCTCCTGCTGGCTGAGGGAGCTATTTCCTTATTTTATCAGAGAGTGGGGTGACAACAGTGCCTGCATCTTGGGTTGCCCTGGTTGACCTTGGGTAGAGCTTTTAGTAAACGATTAGCAGTAGTAGTATTTGAGCCTGAGTGTGTGCCTGGCCAGCGTCTGCCGGCCATTGGCTTTGGTCACCCCATGGTCGCGTTTAAGCGCTGTCTATCCAGTGTTTTAGCCCCAGAAGACTTGCTAGGCTACCTGCCTGGGCCCCCTAAACCTCAGATCTGTGGTCAGCAGCAGTGGGCAGCTAGACTGGGAGGAAGTTAGTAAGTCAGAAGGCCTGTGCCTGCAGGAAGGGGCTCCGCCTCTCCAGAAGTTGCTGTACTGACCCCAAAGGGGAAGCCGGGGACAAGGGGTGGGGCAGGAGAGCCTGGTTGCAGGGACATGTGGGGACGGCAGCCGGCCAGGCTGTGGGAGTGTGTGAGCACGTGGGCCGTGTTTGCACGGGCGGGTGGGGGTGTGCCTGTCCAGATCCAACAGCGTGTAGTGCTCACGTGCACGTGTTATAGGTGCAGGTATACGAGTGCGTGTGTGGGGAGGTATGGCTCAAGGCACAGGTGAACCTACGTCCATGCACACGCAAGTCTATGTTCTGTGTGTACACCTAGAGTTGTGAAAGTTTACATACATATACACGAAGCCTGTGTTTTGTGTACACACACACAAACACACACATAAATGCCAGAATTTGTATCCACATGTGAGCCTGTGTTGTGTGCAGACACCCGTAGGTATGGGAGTGCACACACACAGTTTTGAGTCTGTGTACTTTGCACACATGTAGATGTGGGCATGTGCTTTCATCTATGATCTCTGTTCTGTACATACACACCCATAGGTACAGGATTATACACACTTGCGTGTGTGTCCCACATGCACACCTAAATGCACATGAGAGCGTGTGCACACTCGTGGATGCTGTTTGCCATCCTTACGGTAGAGTGCACGGGCCTGTGTACCTCAGACACCTTCACCGGGCAGGGGGTGAACGCAGGGCCCTGCTGGCCTCTGCAAAGCAGGCTCAGCCCTTGAGTGGGAACTGAGAGGAAGCACCCCTAGATGTCCCAGAGCCCTGGCGCTGGCCTGCCGCAGGGGGTGCTGGGAGCTGGCAGGAAAGAGGAAGTGGTGACAAGAGGCCCTGGTAGGGCTGAGGCTCAGGAAGAGGGCGGGGCCCTCACCCTGGACCCAGGATGGCGGAGCCCGATCCCCTGGTGGACCAGGAACTGGAGGTGGGGGCTTGGTTCCCGGGGTGGGTGGTGGAAGAGATGCGCAAGTGGGACAGACTCCACGTGAATGGGAGACGGCAGCACCCTGCCCTTTATAAACTCATAGTTTTAGACTGAAGGGAGGAAGAGATGAGGCTTCAGAGCTCTCTGCTTGAAGGAAGATAATGTTTGGGGCCCTTTGGGGCTCCCAGGCTGGGTGGGGAGAGGAGAGCGGTCAGATGTGTGCTCAGGATAGTGGTGGAGGGGAGGTGGGCCTGCCTTTGAGACCTTCTGGGTGGATGGAGCCTGATCTGAGGACCTCCCTGGTTTGGGAGACAGTGGAGTGGAAATGGAGCTTATCTTCAAGACCTCCTAGTTTGAAGTTGTCGCCAGAAGGCAGGCAGGGCCTTCCCTTGGGATGTCCTACTTTGGGAGGACAGCAGAGAAGAAATGAGGACTACTCTCAGGACCTCCTAATTTGGGGGTACAGCAGAGGGGAAGGCAGAACTACCCCTGAGTTTGAGGGAAACAGATATAAGATCCTAGAGACCTCCTAGTTTCTAGGAGAAAAGAGTTGGGGGTCTCTTATTGGGACTTTCTAATTTGGGGAACAGGAGAAGGAAAACAAGGCCTACTTTGGGATCCCCTAGTTTGAGAGGACAGTAGTGGGGCAATGGAGTCTACTCTTCAGCATCCCAGTATCTGAGGCACAGATGAAAGGAGTCAGAACTAGGGGTATCCGTAGTCTGAAGGGATGAGAGAAGAAGACCCTATCTTCAGCCCTCATACTTTGAAGTAAGGCCTGAGCCCGACCTCACCTCTTGGTTTTGGGGCTCTGAGGAGTGGGCTCAGGCCCCGTCTCTGAGGCACCCCATCTGGGAGGCTATGAGACTGGGCCCAGGGTGGCTGAGGTGGTCTGCACCCCAGAGCTGACCCCCACTGACCCCGCCCCATCCCACAGAGCGAGCCTCGCAGCTGGTCCCTGCTGGAACAGCTGGGCCTCGCGGGGGCGGACTTGGCGGCCCCCGGGGTGCAGCAGCAGCTGGAGCTGGAGCGGGAGCGGCTGCGCCGGGAGATCCGCAAGGAGCTGAAGCTGAAGGAGGGGGCCGAGAACCTGCGGCGGGCCACCACCGACCTGGGCCGCAGCCTGGGCCCCTTGGAGCTGCTGCTGCGAGGCTCCTCGCGCCGCCTGGACCTGCTGCACCAGCAGCTGCAGGAGCTGCATGCCCACGTGGTGCTGCCCGACCCCGCCGCCGCTGCCCACGGTGAGCTGGGCTGCCTCGGGGTGCAGGGGTTCCCACCCCCCCAGGGGCAGGCCTGCTGTCTGAACAGCTAGGCCTGCACCAGAAATTCAGCACCATCTCTGCTGGTCCCAGAGAGACAGACTCAGTGATTCTGGATCTTCAAATGCAGTCAGAGCAGAGAGTGAAATCTGCACAGCAGACACTCACACCGGCACTCAGATGGACACACTGTCCACACAACAGGGGTTCCCACACACTGACACCTAGATGTGCGGGCTGTCGACACCCAGACAAATGTGTACTCTGTGAACACCCGGAGATTCCTACACACTGACACCTAGATGTGCCTGCTGTCGACACCCAGAGAAATGTACACTGTCAACACCTGGAGATTCCCACACACCAACACACATATGTACACACTGTTAACACCCACATAAATGTGCATACATGCTGTCAACACCCAGAGCTTCCCACACACTGGCAACGAGACGTACACACCATCAACACACAGAGATCCTCACATACCGACAGCTAGAAGGATGTGCTGTCAACACCCAGACAGATATACACATTGTCAACATCCAGGGGTTCCCACATACCAACACTCTCAGGTACATGCTGTCAAAACCTAGAATGTCAGTTACTCTTACAACCAGCTAACATTTACCTGCTTTCACACCAACTCCTGGATGACACGCATAGACTTCGACACTCATTGAAATACAAAATGCATGTGATTCCACCAGCCTCCAGAGACTCACAGTTTCACCAACACAAGCCAGCGTCCAAATACTTACCTTCCATTTCACAGATATCCAGAGATCCTCAAGTGCTGTCCCAGCAAGTCGTGGACAACACCCAAAACTCATGTCACTTCACCATCTAGAGGTGCTCATGCATGGTCTCAAAAATACCCAGTGACACCATTTTTATGTATTTATTTTTATTTTCTTTTTTGTCTGTGTACCGACAAATTGGATCTGACTGGTACATGAGGAGATTGTCCCTCCTTCTCCATCAGAGCATCTGATGGATTCGAACTGCTCACCTCTGGTATTGGAGTGCAGCTTCTTGTCCCTAGGCCACCAGAGCTCGCCCCACTGACACCCTGAACTCACACACAGCACGCCAGTGTCTAGAGACAGGTGTAATCTCACCAGCACCTGCACAACACTCACACAAGTGTCCTAGTGTCACATACACACAGAGAAATTCATCCACAACCACCCGTCATGTGTTGCCCTAAGTAGACCAGACAGCCAGAGGCGTCTGTGTACAGTCACAGTGCCTGAGGGCTCCTTGTCACTTAGACCAACACAGCTCTTCCATCCACATGGGCATGTAAATCCCTGAAAAGACACCATCACATCAACACTGAAGGTAAAAAGAGGGAGTTAAACCCACACAGAGTCATATCCATCCAACATGTCACCTGGAGACCCCCCCCAGTCACACCAATCTTCAGACACTCCCACGTCACCATCTAGCACCCAGAGACACACACAGACCACTGCACTAACACCCAGAAGTCTGCGTCCACAGTCAGAAACATCTGCATTCACCCCCACACCACCATTCTGCCACCTCACCCAGACCCCACGATGCACAGACACACTCTGACAGCTAGGTGGGTAGTTGGGGATTCCCATACACAGTCGCATCCATACCCACGGGTTCTCACACACCTGGAGGGAGACCTGTCTGAGTCTTGTCATGCTGACGGAGCTCTAAGGGAGAGCCTAGGGTGCTTCGAATCTTCCAGATGGTGGGCTGCCCCTCCTGCCTGTCTGCAGGCCCCACATACTTTATCCACCAGGATGCTGGGGGCAGAGCTATCCAGGCTGGGCTGGGGCAGATCCTGGGAGCTGGGGCAGAACCTCCCTCCTGAGCAGACCATGGTGAGACCTGTGCTGGCTCTTCCCCAACTGCCCCCTCCAGATGACCCCCAGTCTCCGGGTGCGGGCAGCACAGCCTGCCTGGCCACCAACCTGAGCCGTGTGGCTGGCCTGGAGAAGCAGCTGGCCATCGAGCTGAAGGTGAAGCAGGGGGCAGAGAACATGATCCAGACGTACAGTCACGGCAGCACCAAGGTGGGTACGTGCGTGTGCGCGCGCACACACACGTGTGCCTGCCACCCACACGTGCGGGGCGGCTGGGGTATAGGCTCAAGGGTGGGACCGCCTGCGCCAGTGGGAGGCTGGGACCGAGGGCTGGCTGACCAGGTGACTTGGAAACAGGCCTGAGGAGTGAGCAGTGCGTGGATGTAAATGGGAACTGGTGAATGGGAGTGATGTCAGACAGACACATGGCAGAGACTGTCCCCCACATGCACCTGGTCGCCCCCAGAGACTCAGGGACATCCTGCGTCAGGTGGCGTGTCTCTTACACACATTCATGCAGTCCTATCAGCTACCCCAGAACATACACGGAGAAACGGAGTCGCCACTCTCAGGACACAGGTAGAGGCAGGACAGCATCAGGATACACGTGCATTGTCACGGCCCCTGGAGACGCAGCAGTCACAACACCTGGGAATACAGCATGGATAACCACACACAGAGTCACATGCACATCTAGACACACGCACCATCATTCACTGTGTGGAGATGACCAGCGTGCACAGCTAAGTTCACGCGCAGGGCCTTGCATTGTCCTGCAGACACATGCATTCCCAGACATGGCCCCACTGGCAACACCTCTCTCCCCCTTTTCTCCCTCCCCTCCCCACCCCCGATCTACAGCAACACACAGCATTCTCACGCAGCCAGAGACACAGCTAGAGGCAGGCTGTCTGGAGAACACAGCTTCTCGACGGTATCACTATATAGTCACTGTGTCACCATACCACACTATATGGATGTGCAAACATTGCAAGAGGGCACAGAACTTAAGACTAGTGTGTCTTTTGTTGGGATGTGCAGTAAGGTACACGAAATTTAAGTGTACTTCATGACTCAAAAACACAAAGACTGAAGAAGAATTGTGATGTTGGCAAGGATTTTTGACTTCCATGGTCGGCCAGAAGAAAACTTTGTTTTGGAGACCATGCAAACAGGGTGCAACCTTAGAGGCAAGGATGGTAAAACGTCGTCTCGTACGCTCTGGGCGTCATGAGACTCAGCGTGGGCAAGGGTCAGAGCGCTTCATAGGTTTACTGTGGGTCGTAGTTGACTCGAGGTCTCCTGACAACAGGGGGGAGCCCAGCCTCCCTTCACGACCTGTCTCTGCCCCCAGGACCGGAAGCTGCTGCTGACAGCCCAGCAGATGCTGCAGGACAGTAAGACCAAGATCGACATCATCCGGATGCAGCTCCGCCGGGCCCTGCAGGCCGGCCAGCTGGAGAGCCAGGCCGCCCCGGACGAGGCCCAAGGTGTGTCCCACCCCGAGACCGCTGGACTGTGTCTTGCCCTGTCGGGCTCAGCCCACAAGAAGCCCATTTTGGGGTGGACAGGGAAGTGGGCATCGTGACTTAGTGGGAAACTGGTACTTGTTTGTTGCAGACCAAGGGTCCCAAAGAATGGAATAATTTTATAATTATTAATAAAGAGACAAACAGCCAGGAATGTGAGAGCAGAGAGCATAAAACAGGGGGCCAGCAGTTCTCGACTGAAGACCCCAAGCCAAGTTTTTCTGTATCTTTATTGAAAATTACCAGGAAGTAAATCACAAAGAGAATTAAATGCAAATGAAGCCAAGCTCTTTCTATAGAAAACCTTCTGCTTGACTCAGGAAGGAGGGGTTCACAAATGCAAGAATTTGGTTTACCCTTAACTATTAACCTTGATGCCTCAGGGTGAACTTGAGCTCAGGAGGTAACACTTCCTCTGTAGGGGGCCCCTTGCTGTCTCCTGTCTTGCAGGGAACAAACAGCTCATTTTCTAGGATCTGCCACAAGAGAAATCCTAACTTATAAATCTGTAATTCCTTCAATTCCTGAACAAGGGTTTTCATATAATATTTGGTATAAAGTTTGGCTTCCCATACTTGTTCCTGCCTGTCTCTGGACCTGGGTTTCCCATTTGTCCCAGGTGAGGTTAGGGGCATATCCCTAACCCTCTCTGGACGCCAGCTTCCCAGGTGTCCTAGTGTTGGTGAATTACAGCCTGTATGTCACAACCTACCACCTATTTTTGTAAATGAAGTTGTATTGGCGGAGAGCTGTGTCTGTTGGTTTACTATCATTCATAACTGGCTGTGTGCTCTAACAGTTGAGAGATCATAAGACCCATAGAGCTGAAAATATTTACTCTTCAGGCTTTTGGACTCAATGGTTGTACTGCCATGTATGCGCCTGTGTGTGTAGAGTTGAGTGTCCACAGCACGTGTGTGTATGTGTGCACTTGTTCATTGTACGTGTGTGTCTGTAGAAATGCCCAGGGTATCTCACGTGCCTGAACTTGTTGGAATTGTCACCTGAGCTTGGGACAGGGTCTTGGCGTACTGTGTACGGGATGAATGTTTCTCTTTTCACCAGCACTATTACTGTAGAAACACTAGCGTTGTATTTAGGCCTGTGAAACAAGAAATGAATGGGGCTCTGTGCCGATAAAACTTTGTCCCCGTGAAAAGTGGTAAGACCATCAGAATGGTGGTGGACCATCAGGCCACACATCCGTATGGATGTTAGAATTGGCATGCCACTGTCCGTGTCTTGGAGGGTGTCAGTGTCCGTGTGGTGATGCCTACAGTTAATCTCCCACCACTCATCCCTCTGTCATACTGGGGTGACCTACTGTGACAGTCGAAGTGATGCCAATGGTCGTACAATGTCAGAAGGGTCATTTGTGGTGGACAGATTTCAGTGGAGCTTCCACCCTAAGACAGACTAGCAAGAAGGACCTGGAACTCTACTTTGTGTGTGTGTGGGTGTGTGGGTGTGTCCAGTCATTCATTGTTGCACTTTTCTCCCTGCCCACCCTCTCCCCCTCAATTCACTCTTCTCCTTGAAAAGTAAAACTCTTTCATTGTTATGCAGTCCTTCCCCACAAGTCCACTCCACTGTGCAGCCTTCATTCTGGACTCCT